AGACCTGTCCTGCTTCTGTCTCTGGGGCCACAGTGCACACTGCTCTGTGACCACAGGATACCTCTGTGGCATTTTCCTCACTGAATCTCAAGAGATCTTACTATGGTGCTTGCCTGCACAGCAGGAGCAAGGCCCTGGAAGTCCCAAGCCTTCTACAAAGGGGTATTTTAAGAAAGGTTACATAAGTTACAGAAATTCCTTTCCCCATATCTGTGGAGAGTGGAACATATGACTTGTATTCTCCTGACTTTGTTTTTTCCTGGGTGAACTCTTCCAATTACTTTGAACGTTCCTGCTAGAGGTAATTTGGGCAACTGGATTCTGGTCCCAAATTCATCACTTCAGCAGGTTATTTATCTTCTCCTTGCCTCCAGTTCTTCATTTGTAAAAGGAAGAAAAGAATGCTCTCTCATGGGATTATAGTGAAGATTAGTTTGGAAAAGTAATATGAAGATTTGAGATTTAGAAAAAGCACTGGATATATATTAAACACAATTTTTAGCAACCACAGTTTTGGAAAAGCAATTAGCAGGTTAAGTCCATGTGGCACTGCTCTTTATAATGCCTCCCAAAAAAAATCATTCCAGAAAGTCAATGTAATTTCTAGCTTTAAAATAATGGCAAATCAAGTGGAGGATGCCTTCCCACATCTGTAAAATTAGAGGTATGACTTTATAGAGCCTACTAAGTCCCAGGCTTGTTACCTTACTTTGTAGTTGAGGACTAAGCCCAGAAAATAACCAGCAGGTAAATGACAGAAGCTTGATTCCAAGTTTCCTAACATCTGGCATTTTTATACCCTGAGTACTTAATTCTAGAGGAAGGGAATAGTAGAAGAATAAGTCAGAATCACACTCTAGTTGCACACCGGACCAGGATTCTGAAAATCTTTGTTAGACACCTATTACATGCAGGACGCTGTATCTGGGCAAGCACTGAGTTAACCCTCCCAGCTGGCCCAGTGCTCTTCATAGAATGATTGATCTGGAACTCAGCCTTGGTACAGGCCCAGGCTGATTCTGTCTTGCTAATCTCTGGATTCCCTGTGCCTGGCACACACAAAACAGGACTTAAGCAAAATTATTTTAGTCAACAATGACTAGAGCAATTTTTGGAATTTTGTGTCAGAGCCTGTGGCCTGAGAAATTCTAGTTACTATTAACTTATGAGGCCAGTTTTATAATCACATTTTACAAGTGAGGAAATAAAGGCTCAAAAAGTCAATGACTAGCTGAAGGACTCAATGAATTAGGGGGTGGAGATGAGATGGAGCCCAGCCTGGATACTTCAGACCTGAGCTCCACAGCTCTCAGGATGCTGGGCCTTCACCTATCTGTTCCCTTGCTCTAGGTCTTCCCTGGTAGTAATTAAAGACTCTGGTGAAGAGCTAACTTTTGAATGGCCTCAAGGAAACCAGAAATAGCAAGGCTGGCCATCAAGTTCATACACAGCTCTAAATCTTCCTTGCTGTATAAGGCTAACTCAATGTAAATAAGCTTAGCTCAAGCTCCGTCTTTCCATTTTCTGGCCACGTAATCTTGGTCAAGTTACTTGGGTCTTTCGAGGTCTCTGGCCTGACTAAACTTCTGAGAACAAGTGACTGGGATCCCCAACTTCTGAACAAAATAAAAACAAAACAAAAAATGTGGGGTAATTTAGTTAAACCTCCAAAAGCCATGTGACTCAGAGCAACTCCCAGGGCATGGGAAGAGGTTATTTTTATTTTTCTAAGGATCCTAAGGGAGACTGACTGATAGTCTCTTCCCACGTGGTCGGGACCAAGTAGGAAGGGGGTGCCTAGGTGAGTATCCTCAACAGCAGATGAGGAAGCCCAAGCTCATCCAGTCAGGACAGGTGCAATTGATTTGCACCAGAAAGCCTTGACTTCTAGATACTGAATTTCTCCATGTGTCCCTGCTGTCTTCTCTACTTTTGTTCAGTTTGGAGAAGTGCTGGGCCTGCACAGAGGCTAACTCTGGGAAATTTCCCAGAGCTCCTCTTATAGCGGTATAGGGTAAATGGAAACCCACCTGCCCTTAGCATCAATGACCTACACTTATGGACTTACAGCCTGCCTGATGGCAGACACCTGGAGTGTAGTGTGGTAGTGTGTAAGTGGAGACACCTGAGCTGAGAGACAAGCATATAAGGAAGGTGGCAGAGGACTGTGCAGCAGAGTGCAGTAGAGACCAGCGAGGAAGAGACCACTCCTAGTGGCACAGGGCTTAAAGTCTCAGTGCTAACAGACAATCTCCTACTGTGGCATGAGTTCAATCCCCGTCCAAGGAGCTGACCACATGGCACAGCAGAAGGCACCTGTTTCTCCTGCTGCTCCCCCTCAGCAGTGTATTTCAGTCAATCTGCCTGTTCTGCTCCCCACTCTGTCTCTGGTGAATCCTCTCATGCCCTGCATCTCTGGCCTACATCCCAGGTCTTGTTTTCATAAATAAATAACAATCTTTTAAAAGAAGAGGCCATGAAAGAACCACAGAGAGCCCAGAAGGAGAAAAGATTTGCTTCCTACTGCCCCTAACCTGCCTGCCCTGCACATGGTTGCCTCACTACAAATGGTGTAGAAAGATCATTAAAAGCCTGAAAAAGCCACCGAGGGCTTCAGGACTCTTCTTTACCCATCTGAGTCAAAATCTACACTGTAGGTTACACAAAATGCGCATGCGGCGAGTTTCTCTATGAGACACAATTGTTAGTTATACCAAAAGAGCAGGTTTATTACAAAAAGGGAAAGAAGAATAAAGGACACTTGCATCGACACAAGCAGGCAGAAAATGCTGCCCTTGAAAGGGACAATTTTGCTAAGAGAGAGGCCTGCACTGTCATAGGCAGCAGCCTTGGGAGGAGAGCTGCCTGTTGCTTTACTAAGGTAGAAGGTCAGGCTCTCATTAAAGAACAGCACTATGAAGCTATTCATAGCCACTGCAGCACAAATTTCATCCCTGGCCATGGAGCTGACACACATGGTCCCACAGACTTCTCCTATCTCACCCACTGCTCCCCTCAGCTGTGTATTTCAGTAGATCTACCTATTCTGCTCCCCACTGTCTCTAATGAACCTCTGACCCTCTTCCCATGCCTACACCCCAGTTCTTATATGCATAAATAAATAAATCTTAAAAAAAAGATAGGTCAGGCCCTCCCTGATGGCGAAGCGAGTTAAAGCACTGCACTAAGAAGCTTAAGGCCACTTCCGCATGAGTTCGATCCCCGCCTGCCCAGGAGGAGATCCACATGGCGCGGCAGACCTCTCCTGACCAGCCCACTGCTCCCCTCAGCAGTGTACTTCGTCGTTCTGCTCTCCACTCTGTCTCTGGTGAATCCTCTCACCCTCCGCATCTCTGGCCTGTACCCCGTTCTGTATAAATAAATAAATCTTAAAAAAAAAAAAAAAGATAGGTCAGTGAAGAGAAGTACCAGCATGGCCACAGGTGGGCAGAAGGCCTATTGCCCCTTGTCAGTGAAAAAATTGCTCTGATAAAGTCTTCCTCTTTGGAAGGGGCTCATTTTTTTTTTTTTTGGTGGCATTAACATTGGTTAAATTAATCACTTCTAGGGTCTGACTATGTTTATAAAAACTAGTAATTCTTCACAATGGTCCTCAGTTTTCATATCCCCACCTCTTGTTTGCACTACCTGATACTCTCTATAGCAATCTGATACCTGCTATAGCATTTGGCCTTACGGAGTTTTCAATTCCATAGCTAGTTTAATGACTGTATTAATAACGTCTACCCCTATTTCCAGCTTTTGGCCTTGTGTGAACCAGGTTTCAGGTCTTGTGGTGCCTCCTTTCCACCCTTAAGCGTCATCGTGATCACTTACATCTTTTTATTTATAACCCATAGCACCCTTTGTGGCCCAGACATTCTACCTTTGCGAGTGTCCTTCAGAAAGTCTCCACTACACGTAAGCGGACTCTAGAAATGGGAGTTTAGGATTTATGACCTTCCAGTTTCCAACAGCACAGAGCTCGTGCTCTTTGACTTGAATGTCCCATAATCAAAAGCAGATTTTTCATTTGCAAGAGCAGGGTCTATTCCCGGACCCCTTCGTCTACAACAGCCATGCACCTGGGATGGGTTGCAAAAGGTTTTGGCTAGCCCCCTTCTCTGGTGCCCATCTGGCTGATTCATCTGCTCCAGAGAGGGCAATGTTGGATATCCGAGAAAGGAAGTCTTACTGTCACAGGCAAGCTGCCCCTCTTCACGTGCGCGCGCGTACACACACACACACACACACACACACACACACACACACACACTCACAGAGGCAAGCACGCAAAAGACTGTGCTGCCCCTTTTCACGTGCGCGCGCGTGCATACGCGCACACACACACACAGACACACACACACACTGAAAAGCACGCAAAAGACGGCCAGAGGCGTGGGCGGCTTGTGCGCGTGCGTCGGCGCAGACTACACTCCCGCCCACGTGCGCGTCCCCGAGCGGAGGCGCGCGCCGCGTCAGGCTGGCGGGAAAGCGCGCGGGAAGCCCCCGGCGGGCTCCCGGTGTGGGGGAGGGAGGGCAGCAGGCGTTTGGAACGTGCCACTCTCGGAAGGGACGGGGGGATTTTCGCGCCCTGTTAGCGCTTCTACGCCTCCCGTCCGCCGACCAATCCGTTAGTTCCCCCCCTTCCCAGCCGCCAAACGCAGCCCCGCGCCGCGGCCACGCTCACTCCCCGAATCCTAGCCCGGCCCCTAGAACCCGGCTCGGACAGAGCTGTGCTCTCGGCTGCCAGAGCGGGGCGCTGCGCCTCGCCGTCGGGCCGGAAATTCCCGCGGCCCGAGTGGCGGAGCCGGAGCGGAGAGCGCGGTGCCGCCTTCCTCCTTTTTGGGTCGGGCGGGGGCGTTGAGCCCCTAGGGAGCCGGACTGCCTGAGTGGGGGGCTGGGGAGGAGCCCGCGTTTACGAGGAGCGACTGAGCCGGCGCGGGCGGGGAGCCGGACGACAGGGCTGCTCCTCGTCGGCCGCTAGGCGTGCGGGGAGACCCTGCGCCCCAGCTCCCGAGCCCCCGCCCCCTCGCGGTCTCCGCCTCCTTAGCTCACACACCCCCCGGGCCACCGGAGCGCCAGGCCTAGCCGACGCTCCTCCTCCTCGTCACACTCGCCCTCCGACCCGGCCCTTCAATCGCTCGCCGGCCTCGCTCCCTCCGGGGAGAGTCTGGTTCTCAGGTTCTCTACACACGCACACACGCACGCACACACACGCACACACTCGCGGGGCCGCCCCTTCCTCTCGGCCCTCCACCTTGTCGTCCTTGCTAACGCCGCGGTCAGGGGAGGATTGATGTCCCTTCAGCATCATGCAGCCGCCGCCGAGGAAGGTGAGGGTGCATTTGGAGGGGACTTTGGGGTATTGGGAGGATGTGTGCTAGAAACGCGGCTGGGGAAACCACTGCGCCCCCTCCCCCTTTCCGCTAGGAGCCGTGACCGCCGTTGCCGTGTACTTGTCACCGAGTTGCCGCGGGCTCCAGGCAGGGGTTGAGCGTGTGAGGTGCTTTCCCAGTGCGGGGCGGCCGCGGCTCGTGCCTTTCACTGCGCCGGAGACCCTCAGACATTTCACAAGAGTTTAGGGTGTGCATTTGTGCGTGTGCGCGCGCATGGCAGTGGTGCTCGCTGCAAAGTGCATTCTAGGGGCTGCAGCGAAGGGAGGCGGGGGAGCCCCTGCAGCTTTGCAGAGCCTTGTGCTTGTGTGATTGTTTAGTCTGCGCCAGGTTTGAGCCCTTCAGCCTCTTGTCGCAACCCTTTTGCAAATTTGCAGGAAAATTGTTTTCCACATGACCCTAACGTTTGGCCTGCTTTTCCCACGGGGCGGCCGAAATGAAGTTGAACTAGTCACCGCCCCCCACCCTCAGGAAAACCAGAAATTAAGGATTGAGGTGCTCTACTTTCCACCCTTCCCCCCCATTTTCCTGTCCAGCCCCTTGGGGTAGGGTACTAGGAGGCGAAGATACGACCCCCAGGTGATTGAGAACCTGCTAGTGCGTGGCGTGTGCTGTGATCCGGGCTTGGATGATTCGGGTGGGAGTGACGCGTGCTCCGGGCTTGTCAGCCGCTTCCCCCACTGCGCCCATAGCCAACTGTTTCATTGCCCCCTCTCCAGTTTTCCAGGGTCTGAGGCTGTGTCCTTGTCTTTTCAATCTTGCAGATGGTAACTGAGTAGACATCTACTTTGGGTGCGGGGTGGTGGAGGCTGTTCTAGCCTCCCCTCGTGGGCAAACATTTGGTGAATGCCTAACTTCTAACTTCTGTCAGCTTCCTCTTTATCTCTTAATCCCGGTTTCACCAGTTAAGTGAGTCTTTTTTTTTTTTTTTTAATTTCACACATGTAACCCCCTCTCCCCCCTCCACACCATCTCTTTGGGTAACCCCGTGCCAGCTGTGTGGTGTCCAGGTCCAAATGAAACTTGGAACCTTGGGGTCCGGGCCTGGCGGGTACTGGCCAGCTTGCATTTGCTGTTTTAGCTATTTGAAGTGTAGTCGCCAGGGGGACTGGCTTGCTGGGGTGGCTTAAATGCGCTGCATATGCTGGAAGGTCACTTTAGCTTTCTCCTTTGTGAGAAAGAGATTGTGATTTGATGCACTGTCAGCAAGTCCAGGGCATCATTCTGAGACAGTGATTTCTTGAAGCCATTATGGAGTAATTTATGTAGTCAATTCGTGCAAATAATTTCATGATTGTGTAAATTTCAGTCATTATATTTTAGGTATTCCTATGCTCTCTTCTGTTATTTACCCTCTGTTTACCTCTCCTGATGGTTACTGTTGAGCCCTTTTGGGAAGAAATAGAAGACACACTCTTTTAAAACTCTTAAGTAGTCTTCTTAGAACTTGTGCTTGAAATGGAGTGGCTGGCAGTTTAGTTTGCCACCTTTTCAATCTGTAATTTTTATACTGTGAATTTTTATTTAGCCTTTGTTTCAGGTTATGTAGCACCTCTTTTCATTAAGCGTTTCAATAAATAAAACTAAGTGGTCAATAATGCATCTGTGGTCTTTTTAAGAGAGGTGAGAAGTGGTATTATTTTGACAAGTATTAAATATTATCCTAAGAAAAATTTTTTTATCTAGTTTAATATTTATGAAAGTTTTACATAAATATATGGTATATTTTAGGTGAAGGTAACACAAGAATTGAAAAACATTCAAGTTGAACAGATGACAAAACTTCAAGCCAAACACCAAGCAGAATGTGATTTACTTGAAGATATGAGGTAAGGTTATATAGTAAATAGTTTGAGAACTTCTGTATCTCTGTTTCAAAGAACCTTTGAGTTACCAACCCCAGGAACTGATGATGGAATTTCCTTTTGGATTTCCTGCTTTAAGGTTGTTAGAGGTTTGCCTCAGCTAGAAATTATAACTGGAACTAATACAATACAAACTTTCCTTTAATGGTAGAACCTATAATGTATCCATACTGTTATGAAAAAAACAAGAGCCATAACATTTTATCAGTCAAGTTATAATAATTGAAGTAGAAATTCCTATTTAAGTAATCTGTCTTTTGAATTGTAAGATTTACTTACCTTAAGGATTTCACACAGATTTTTAAACTGACACTTCTGGTTAATGGTTAATAACAGATTGTGAGCCAGTCAAACTGAGAAGATCATATACTGGCCCTATTTGTTAGAACATAACAAATATAACTGTCTTTTTGAGCATTAAATTTAGTGGGAGCTGTGTCTAGCATATTTAATTTTTGAAGTTACTGGTATCCACAACAAAGATAGCTTGGAATTTAATAGATAGGACATCTTAACCACCATTGTGAAAATCAGTATTTTTCTTTATAGGGGGGAGCATGACTCATTTTATCTAAAGAAAAGCCATTTCTTTTGTTTAACAATCCTATAATGCAAACTGACAGATCAACAAACATTTCTGTAAAGGAAGAAAGATGATTTGCATGTTGAAACAGACTGGCTGCAATTCTTATTTACCTTTAGTAATACTTTTATCAAATGGGAATTGGTTCTATAAATGTCATCAGTTCTGTTTTTCCTGTGACACAGAGCCTCATGTTTTGTAAAAAAATGGTATTTACTTTGTTGTTACAATACAGTTAATATATATTTCGATAGCTGAATTGTTTATTCCAAAGAGTGTAATGTAAAAGAACTCTTTTTTCCCTTCTCCATGTTTAATTTAGGTGCTATTTTATGAGTACTTCTACTCATAAAAGACAATGCATGTCTTTTCAGGGTTTCTAAGACAAATGAATCCATTTTTATTCAAAGGTGGATATACCAAATCATTCTGTTTTTCTTATGGTCACAAGAAAATTTTTAGATTTTAAATAATCCCTATGCATGATACCTGAAATACTCAATAATTTAAAAACTCAGAGTTTTTTTTTTATAACAGTTTATTATTATATCATTTTGTACATTTTTTTTTTTTGCCATCTCAATTGTAATCCCGGCGGGTTTCCCATCACCAAGTCACCCGTGTGCCATCACCATAATCCCATGCACTTCCCTCCCACACCCCTCCCCCCACGTTTTTGATCCCATTACCCACTCCACCCCCACAAAATGTCTCTGGTATATGGTTGTTCATTATTCTTGTCATTTTCTTGCCTGGTCCATTATACTCCTGCTATGAGTGAAACCGTCTGGTATTTTTCTTTCTCTTTCTGGCTTATCTCACTAAGCATGATCTTTTCCAGCTCCATCCAAGTTGCTGCAAAAGACATGTGTTTCTCTTTTTCGGTTGCTGAGTAATATTCCATTGTATATATGTACCACATCTTTTTTACCCAGTCATCTACTTTTGGGCATTTGGGCTGCTTCCATGTTTTTCCAATTGTAAATAAAGCAGCAATATACATGGCGGTGCAGGTATCTTTTTCAATCAGTGTTTTTGTGTCTTTTGGGTAGATACCTAGGAATGGGATTGCTGGGTCGTAAGGAAGCTCCATGTTTAGCAGTTTGAGGAACCTCCAAACAGTTTTCCATAGTGGTTGTACTAGTTTGCATTCCCACCAGCAGTGCAGGAGAGTTCCTTTTTCTCCACATCCTCGCCAACATTTGTTGTTGCTAGTTGTTTGAAGATGTGCCATTCTCACTGGGGTGAGATGGTATCCCATTGTGGTTTTAATTTGCATCTCCCTTATTACGAGTGATGTTGAACATTTTTTCATATGTTTGTTGGCCATCTGCATTTCCTCTTTGGAGAAGTGTCTTTTTAGCTCTTCTGCCCATTTTTTGATTTTTTTTTTTTATTTTTGTTGAGTTTTATCAGTTCTCCGTATATTTTTGTGATCAGTCCTTTATCACTACTTTTGTGTGAGAAAATGTTTTCCCATTCAGTGGGCTGTCTGTTTGTTTTTTGTAATGTCTCTTTTGCTGTATAGAAGCTCTTTAACTTGATGTAGTCCCATCTATTTATCCTTGCCTTCACTATTGTGGCGTTGGGTGCTCTGTTTAAAGATTAAAAACTCAGAGTTTTTAACATTTATGAAGTGAACTAAGGTTTTTCAGTAGAAATCTATGGATAAAGAAAGAAATTTCCAGAAGTAGTTTAGGAAGGCAAACTTAGTGTGTAAATGAGAATCCTGTGGGGTAACGATAGTCAATGATAATTTTTTCTAAAGATTCTCTTTTCTCCTACCTTTGTGTTAGAGCTTATGGTCAAGTATACAAACATTGAGTCAGTTAATTCTTAGTTTCTAAGAATTAACTAGTAGTTATCTAATTCAGGTTTCTGACTTCTGAAAAATGAACCTTCTTAACTTCCGTTTTCTCATTTGTAAAATGGAGCTATTGGGTTGTCAGAAAAGTCATGATATGTTTTTTCATGTGTTGTGACTTTTCCAACATCCCAATATGATGATCCCAATATGCAGATCAAATAAAAGACAATGCATTAAGACGTGTACACAATCACTGCTATATTGATGCAGGTTGTTGCTCATGTTGCTATTGTTTAGTTGTTTGTATTATGGCTTACACATTTTGTTTAACATTATTTCAGTAATATCCCAATTATTACATTAATGTTATCATGTCTTTTGCTCCCAAATTTCTCTTTTTAAGTCTTCCACATTATCACCAGTTAGCTTTCTATAAACATTGTTTATTATATATCAGGTTCTTCGTTCCTCCAAGTAAATATCAAACACCTTGTCATGACATATATTGCCTTTTGCAGACCTTCCTTTCCTGGCTTAAGTACAGCCATTTCAAGCCCACACATTCTTTCTCCTTATTTCTCCTGCTCTGGCTACTCAGGACTAGTAGTTATCTAATTATGCTTTTGTCATACTTTTGTCTTGTTTTCTTTGCTTGTTGATAGTTTTCCTCCTACTTCTTTACCTGGCAAAGTCTAGTTACTACTAATCCTTCTGAATTACCCGTTCACGTAAATTCCTTGAAGTCAGGGACTAAATCTTACTCATTTTTGTATCTTTGTACCTCTTGTTTAGGCTGGCAGAATTGCTTGTTTAATGACTGTAACTGATAATTTGAGTATTTTTAGGTGACATGTTATATAAGCTTTTTAGGAGGGTGTATTGGTAGCTGTTGTTGCACTTGTGTCATACTTTGATTTGTGTGGACTCTTTAAAAGGTACTGTGTTGATAGAACATATCTGTATTTATACATATAAAGGTACACATATGTAAATACAGAGATTGTTAGTAATCCATTGATTAGTGGGTTCTTTATTATCTTATAAAAGTCTCAATGTGTTAATCTTTTGTGTTAAATTGATGGGCTGAAGGCCTTTCTTCCTATATGGTTGTGAGCATAATACTTACAGTACCTCCTAAAACATGAGTTTGTTTTCTGATTTGCTTTTTTTAAAGATGTTTTTATTTATACATACAGAACTGGGATAGGGGCGAGGTATGTGGGGTGTGAGAGGCTTCACCAGAGACAGAGTGGGGAGCAGAACAGGCAGATTGACGAAGTACACTGCTGAGGGGAGCAGCAGGCGAGTCAGGAGAGGTCTGCTGCACCATGTGGGTCACCCCCAGGGCGGGGATCATACTCATGCTGAAGTGGCTTTAGCTTCTCAGTGCTGTGCTTTAACCTGCTTTACCACCAGGGAGGGCCTGATTTGCTTTTTACCCCAATGAGATAGTGAATTAGAAATTGAAATTGCCTGCTCTTGGTCATCATGATTGTTTCAGTTTCTCGAGAAGGAAGGTGGCCTGACTTCTCTGGTCTGTCTTGTCAAATGGAATAACCTTTAAAAATTCATTAGAAATCTCTGAACTCAGATTTTTATATGTATTATGTTGTAAAGGATCTTACCTGCATTTCCTTTTTTGAGACATCCAGTCTCTTCTTCCCAGAAACCTCACAAATAGCATTCCTTCTTATAGTTGTTTTTTCTTTCTTTTTTTTTTTTTTTTACAAAACCACTACAATCATTAAACTATAAATAGGAGAATTTTATTTTGGGTTATGGCTAGTTCCCCATCCTCTTCTCCCTTGTCACCTTTTGGAACTCTGAAAGATCAGTTATGATACAGTCCCCCCCCCCCTTTTTTCTTCTTTCATTCCTCAGTTCACTTTTGTTCCAGGGATGAATTTGGAAGCTGGTGTGTTTGGAGTCAAGTATGAGAAAGAAAGATAACTCATTTGTTAATCAGGGACATTCCACGCTTTGGGGGGATTTCCTGTTAACTTTTGCTGTCTGGGGAGACAAGCACATTTTACTTTCTTTTTAATTTATTATTTTTATCCTCTGCTTTCTAACATCACTTGTAAGTAAGTTTCTAAATACTGCCACCAATGTGTTGTTTATTAGTACTAGGTATTTAGTACCTTTTATTCTTATAATGTGCTAAATAGATTCAGTAAAGAAAATTCTTTGCAGGGACTAAGAATATAATGAACTACCTCTTGTTGGACTTTAAAAAATTAATTTATATATTTTTAAAATTTTATTTTATTTATTTATGCATATAAGAACTGGATGTCTAGGCCAGAGGGGTGTGTGTGTGTGGGGGGGGGGTGTGAGAGGATTCACTAGAGACAAAGCAGAGAGCAGAACAGGTGGATCTACTGAAATACACTAAGGGGGGCAGCAGTGAGACAGCAGAGGTTTTCTGTACCATGAGGTTAGCTCCATGGTCTGAGATCCAACTCAAGCTGCAGTGATTGGCCATAGTTTGAGAGTGATGAGCCTTAACCTCTTGTACTGCTAGGGAGGCCCAGATGCATAGTAGCTCTTTGAACGTTCATGTGCAAATCTTCA